TGCCATTGGGAATCACCTCAAGGTGTTCTGAGTCATCTGTTGGTGTTTGTGTCTTCATCTATTCTATGACACCACAGAGCTGCAACCACAAGGAGTTAAAGACTTTTACTATTGAGACCCACAGACGCAGCCACAAACGTGCAACCACAAATCAACACACCCACACAGTTACACATGTACTCATATAAACATGGAAGGAAATGCGAGTCATATTAATCCTCGAGGACACCAATGTCATTCCACTCTGTGCCCTTTTTTCGGTCCCAGTCTCCTGCGTCATTTTTAGAAATGGAGCATAAGAGGAGAACAAAGTGTTCCTGTGGATCATCGTGTGTCTTTGATAACTCCAAAAAGAAAGTGACGTCCAGGATTTAAAATTTGTTGATTTTTCCTCTCATGCTGTGTTTCTGCTTGGTAATCATACTCCAAGTGTGACCACAGTACTAAGAAGAAACCTTACACACGTAGGAGCATTTTTAAAAATGTAAATGAAAAGTGCTCAGAAAGGGAGATTTTTTTCATGTGAATTTTGAGCCTGTCAAATGCGGTGAACAATTTTTCCTACACGGGGTCATACTCTGACGTATGGACATGTGCCTGTCAGTGTGATAACACGTGATGTTGAATCTGTTCTGCGTAAATGTGTGTGTGTGTGTATCTCTCTCTCTCTCTCTCTATATATATATATAAATATGTGTGTGTGTGTCCTTTCCTTTCCCTCTGTATTTACACCGTTAGCATCCTTGCCAGCCCTCTTTTTATCATCTCAGCATATTTGCTTACCAGTCAGGTGAGGTGACATATACAATCTGGATCCCATGGTATATCTTACTCCAGTGAACTGGGTGAGGGCTGTACTTTTTCAAACAAACAACACAAAAAACAAAAAAGCTATACTGCAGGAATTGTAATGATGAGGCATTAGGCAGGAATTTGGTTCATTAAGTTACGTGTCTGGAAACAGAGCTAAAATCAGGGCATTATTATCTCCACACCCACGCTTTTGGTTCTTTGCTAAAGTTCTGAGAAAGTCCTGGGTTGCAGGGGACAGCTGATATGTCAGTGCCTCAGGCCTAAAGGCTGAGGTGCCTGCATACCTGAAAATGTTTCCATAACAGCACACTTTAGTTAAAGACACATTTTTCTGTATTTGTTAAAAATGGAATTATTCAGTGGCGTTGAAACTGTACTATCATTCACAATCTAAGCATCTGGAAGGCAAATACACATATTTATGATTGAAACTCAAATGGACATGGGCTGAACACATAAACCAACCCTGCAAAGCAAACGGGAGAGGTTTGCTCCCACAGCTTTCTGCCAGGCAGGCAGTGTTTATTTTAGGATGCATTTTAACCCAAACCATGATCTTTTTGCCTAAATGTAACCATCTAACCAAAGTGTGCTAAAACTGAAAATAATATATGAAAAAAAGAAAGCTTTCTCTCTTAAATCATTCCATGCAAAGTAACCAGCACATAAAACGACTAAATAAAACTGTGTATCGTTATAGTTCCAGTGAAATATACTCTAAATGTAAGCAAATACACATTAAACACCTTCAAACGAAGATTACCGGGGGAGATTTATGACAACGTGATAAAAAGCACATGAGAGAAAATGGAAAGAAAGTCATGCTGGGTAGAAAAAAAACAACATTCCTCAGTCACTTTGGTAAACTATAGCTCATTTAAGACTAAATGTTAACTGATAAAAGCTGGGGTTGCCATTAACAGCAAGTAAAAAATGAAGGTAGTAAACAGTTTATATAAATGCTTGTTGAATGGACCAATGGAAACAGCTCCAGGTATTTTGCTCTAGCTGAGCAGATGAGACACTTATCTGGAAGGAAATGCTAAGGCACTGCCTACATGAGACTTTGTGGTGTTTACTGATGATTTGGCACTATGACAGCTATGTCTCTGTGCTTTAAACCCATTTTTTTCCTCTTTTCTCTGAGGTTTACTGGTCCACCAGGGCTTGTTGCAGTGCTGCCTGTCAGAGACGAATATACGAACATTCAATGGCAGCATCATATAATGGAAGCTAAAACGCAGCAATTTATACTGTAAAACAGAAGTATTTTTATAAGCCCGCACTTATATAGGTCTATATACATAATGTTAGTTCAATTCAGAATGATTTAGTCATAAAAAATACAATATTTCTAAGATTTTGGCTGCTCATATTTCAAAGTAGTGCATGACAATGCATCAGCTTGTCGGCGCCTTGCATGCATCATGTTAAAATACTGTAACAATACAAAACAGTGTTTTACTTGTTTTTTTTTTTGGTTGAGGTTTTATTTAATTCATCTCTAAGGGCATATTGAGATATCCTTGCCTGAATTAATAAATGCAAGGGAGCAAGTGAGGGCTTGCATGTGTTAGCTTTTCCAGCTAGTGAGAATGCACTGTGTGCCTTGCTCTGTGCATACATCTGTACATGTACATACAAATGCAAGAGGCTGGTACATGCCAAATATTTTCTTTAAATTGAGCTGCCTTTCAAATGAAAAACAAATCCGATTTAGACTGGCAGTTTGAAAAAAAGACTGCTCCAGAGACTGCTATATGTGATTTAATAAGACGCTGCATTATGCGGTCACTGGATTAGCTTTGATACTAAGCCAAATTTACAAGATAAAAGAAAGTAAAAAAGAAAGCAGTGCTATATGCAGAGGTCAAAGAGACCCCAGCAAAGATCTGAAACAAGGACATAAGACTGCCGCAGAAACGTGCCCAGATTCAGAGGTTGAAAATGGCTAATGAAAAACATAACAATGCTAGAGGACAGAGGATGGAAAGGGTATCTTAAGGGGAGGGACAAAAGGGGGAGAAGTAATCTGAGGTAAAAGGTCCGCAGCACTGATATGGTTTCTATTCTTGCAGCATTTTCTGGGTGTTTCAAGAACTCAAGGCAGCAGGCTTGTCATACAGCTGGACTGTCACTCTTCAGTGCTGTCTCCCACCTCTGACACACCCTTCTCCTTCCATCTGCACCACTCCTTTTGCTAACTGCCTGGGGTTTTATTCCCTTGACTATCAATGACACCTTTATCTTCTTGTTTCACTCAGCCAACATTTTCAGGGCACACCAACTTCATGTCAAACATCACTCGTCCATTCTGTTGTTCTCATCAGATTATGCATGTGCATCCCCGTACACCTGGATTCCTGACCTCACTCCCGCCTACGACCTCATAAATCAATCAATCCCCGTATAAAGCTTTTAAAGGAATACCTGCTTTGTCCCTCTATATCGTGAACATGACTCTGATGGACAAATCTGGTACCTTGTCTACTGATCACTGCATTTGTACCTGCTTTTCGAGTCACTGTTAAAGGTATATAAAATCTGTGTGGTATATAAAATCTTACGGATGCTTTGGAGTAAGGTGGCAACAAGAAATAAACAGACTTCAGAAGCATTAGAAAACACACTTGCATGCACAGAACACATAGCACATTTTATGAACTCATAATTGCAAAGTTTATAGCCTTGCTGCTGCTCAGTCTGTCTCGCAGAACACACACATAGACACACAATTTCTCTTGGAAGTGGAGCAAAGTAACCTAAGGCAATAATTGACAGCGCTGACAGCAGTGGACAGCAAATATGTAATAAGTACACATATCGCAATAAAATATTGGATCAGCATCTTTGGAGTTATGTTGTTCACCGCTGAAACAAAGCGTTCGCCGACCAGGACCCAAAGTATAAGTCTCCTTCACTCAGACATCATGATGGCACACCTGGCAAAATACAGCATTACACTTACAGGGGGAATGCCACACCTGGCAGCAGTGAGGATGAGTTTTCCACCTTTCAAATGAGTGTGGTAGTCAGGCTGGCACAGGGAGGTAGGCTGGCATGACTGAGCAGGTTCCACTTGCGGAGCAGGGGAGGATAAAGTGGGTGTGGGGATGAAAGGGAGGGGAAGTGGAGGGCTCAGTGCAAGCCAAGGAAACACAGGTTGGTTGGAGGCATGTAAGTTGGGGGCTGGGTATATTCACTGTGGAAGTAGTGCAGCGAAAAAAAAAAAAATCCCAAACATTCCTGTGACCTCTCTCTCTGCTCTACTTTAACCCCACCATTAGGTTCCTCGCCACACCCTGGAAGCTCTTAGCTCTGAGCTGTCACTGGTGGGCTGAAAGCAAATCAAGATAACCACAACACAGAGATGAATCAATCGGAAGGTGAATGAGAGGCAGAAGAAAAAAGAAATACTTAAGTCTAAATGTGGAGCATGTAGAAGCAATGTGTAAACAGTATCATAGCAAACAGGTATAGGCAGGATCACCGCTGTAGCTTCTTCTCTGCTACTTTTTGGTGTTCAAAAAAGATAACGCACACTTACAAAGTCTACACAGACTCTTGTAATATTAGTCCGTTGCAGCTGTTCTCTGCTTCTCATTGCTAACATAACAGCTGATGTCCTGTAAACATACAAAACTTAAAACAAATGCTTCATTTCTTTTATCATGTGACAGCAAAATTTTCATGCAAACCATATTGTGACCAGATGAGGTCTTGACATTTTTACTAGCTGTCCACTGCTGAAGCAGAACAAATTTTTGTTTGATCTTTCATAAACCAAAGTTCAAACCGAATCAAAACAAAACAAAGGCACTCGCAGCACACGTGCACCCCGAAGCAGCGACTTTCCTCAATTGTCTTTTGACCTGCTTCACCTGGTGATTCACACACACACCAAACTCTAATCTAGGGGAGGAAAAAGGTGTCACAGCCACTTCAAAGTCTGATGACTAACACATGAGTGGTTTACATACTCAAATATAAATAAGTGTCTTCTCTGAGGCTAAGGTGGATTCAAAGAAAATTCCACCCAGTCCACTGCATGACATGTCTTTCACAGTCCCAGTTCTACCATAATGATACCTGTGTTTACATATAGACACACGAAATCACACGCACACACATGCAGACACACACTGGGAAAGCTCAACATTAGGTAAGACATTCTCTCCTCCGCTCACCTTTCTGGGCTGCACAGTGACTCTAAACTCCAATGTGTGAGGTGTGTGTCAGTCTCTCCTCTCCTTGATCTTGCTCTCCCTTTCCCTCACTTACTCCTCAACCTGCAGTCATCGCGTGGCGCTAGTCACGGTGAACTAAGGCAGAGGGAAAAAAGAGGAGGGATGGGAAGGTTAGAGGGACAAATGAGTCCTGCCCAGACTGATGAGAAAGGCTTCCAAAAAAAACGCCCTCAGGAGAGAAAAGATCAGAACACTTTACTCCACCAAAATGTTTTAAACTTTCTCACCACTGCACCGTTTCCACCGATTTCTTTTTACTGAGCTCCTTTTTGTTCCGTTCCTTTTTCCTAGCAGTTTTTAAAAGTTAAACTACTTTTCCCTCTTCCTTTCTCTTTCTACTTCTGCCACTCACAAGTTCTTCTCCTCCCTGCTGTTGCCTGTCACCGTTTATCTAAATTTGTCTGAATTCTTTCTCCGTCTGCCTCCTGCTCTCACACTCGTGCACTACTCTCACAGCGTGTGCTTTACCTCGCACTTACCCTGGTGTGCAGCTGTGTGATGAAGGAGACACACCTGCTTTTACTGAAGTGTGTGCGTACATATATGTGTGCAGTACAGAGCTTACTCTAAGCCAAAAGATGGAATCCAGTTGGAGTTTGCTTTCCATACTGTTTCAACTGTCATCTGGTTTCAGAACTGTTAAACTGAATCTATAAATCGATGCTTGGCTGAAGGCATTTAATAGGAAATGTTTAAATGTTTATGGTTGGTTGGTGACTGCATGTGACGGTGAATAATATGGCTTCCATACCTGCAAGACACTCGCACAGATGCACTTTACAGCTTTAATGACCCTAACATCATCTTTCCAAAATTTGAGGAATGCATAGTGCTTTTTGAGAGGCAGGCATGCAAATTTAATAACAGAATTACTGGGACCTACTGGGAGAAAGAAAGGAGATGTAGCTAAAATCTAAATTGACTGACACACTTCAGCAAGAATCCGTTAGTGGGCTGTCTCAAATTCACGTTAACCTTTTTGACCCGGGGCTGTGTGTTTTGTATGTGCTGCAGGGTTTCCTCTAGATGGAGCCAAGTATGATTGGCAGTAATCCAGAGCACCTGGCTGGTGTCCAACAAGGTTATTATCTACCGTTTAACCTCTGTCTGTGTACACGTGGACCAGCGAGCCTATATGTGCTCACCATGCACTCAGCGCCATCTTACTCTCTGTATTATCGCACTGTTGTTCATCTAAAACATGTGCCACATATATGCACGAACACTCATACCTCATTTTGCTTCTTTTCATTCCTTTTAGCCTATTCTCACGATATTGTTTGTTAATTATTATAACGGTGGCAGTCCATCTCTTCTCTTTGTTGTGGTCTGTGATGTAACCATAACAATCTTTAGTACTGCATGTAACTTAGACTTGTAGAGGAAAAAGTGAAAGGGTCAAAAGGAGGAGCGTATATTCACTCCAGCTCTCCAGTCATCTTGTAACCCGATCAAGAGATAAGCCAGAGCAGTGCTGACAACAGCTTTCACAATATAACCCAGCCGTGCAGCAGATGAGAGATTTTCAACAGCCGCATTACGATTCTGAGTCATCATCATGATCCCAAATACCAGCTTGGCTCCAGCTTCAGCTGCTCAATTGGGATACACCACAATGATCATCAGCCACATCCCCCCAAAAACCTCCCCTGACTCCAAAGATAACTGCTTTACGATCCCATGCTTCACTCTTCCCCCCCACTCCCAGGGAGCACTACTTAAAATCAAAGTAGCGTGCGAGTCAGCTCTCCAATCATGAAAAAAATCCTATTTACAAGCCTTGACCTATGAGTCACTATGTAATCGCTGAGAATCTGGAACAGCTTCCTTCTCCGCTGGTCATCCCTCACTCCCCCAGTTCCTGTTTGTCTCATTGTCACATTCCCATTTCTCTTTCTCTCATTGGACGATTTCAGCAGAAGGGTCAAATTATGTCAGTGGCCCAAAATGTGTTAAGACCTAACAACTGTTCACATATTTAGGTCACTATCCCAAATGCCTGCATCTACAGTTTGTGCCTGCATTTGGCAGTCTCTGTGGTTTTGTGTGATTGTTTAACTTTGTCATCAAACTGAGCGTGGGAACTTTGTGTGCTGATTTTTACACACAGGTTTCTGTTCTGTATCTCTATACAGATGTTAAACCACTTGTTTTAAATGTCTTTGCCACTGATACAAATTCTGCAGAGATTTTATTCACAGGGCAATATTTTTAATTGACAAATAAATATCTGTTTTTGTTATATTTGGTTTATATGTTTACAGGTCAACAGTTCATAGGTCATCAGCTGATCAGTGTTTGCTGGCAGTATCTCAGAGGATTGTGGTTTTGAGATTGTGGCTTCCAAGCTGTGGAACAGGCTTCTAATGCACTTGAGATCCGTGGACATTGTTGATACATTTTAAATGAAGCTTAACATTCACCTCTGCATGATTGCTTTTGTCTAGTTTTTACCATGTACACTACTTTAATCATTATGTCTTATTTGGTATGAGTTGGTATGAAGGGCCCACCATTACACCACCAGCAGCAACCTACAAGCCATGATGGAATCATGCTTTCATGTTGGGTTTTCACCAAATTCGGACTGTACCATCCAAAAGTTAGAGCAGAAATGGACTCTCATCCAACCAGGAAATATTTTTCTAATCTTTTTTTTTTGTCCAGTTTTGGTGAGCATGTGGGAATTATAAACTCAGTTTCCTTTTCTCAGCTGACATACTATATTATTCATTTGAAAACTCTTCTGCATACCTTTGATTCTAACAATTGGTTATTTGACTTTCTGTTGCCTCCATATCAGCTCTCAGCAGTCTGCCCATTCTCCTCTGATCTCGACAAGATTTTAGTTAAGTAAACTGCTGCTCACTGCATAGTTTCTCTATTTCATGCCATTCTATATAAACTAGAGATGGTTATGCAGGGAAACCCCAGAACATCAGTAAAACAAGTGTACCTAATAATATGGCAGATGGTATGTGTTGTCAGTGATATTCCTGATTCTCTGGCCAACGTGCTCCAAATCCATCCATCCATCCATCCATCCATGAAGCCATCCATCCATCCATCATCTTCCACTTATCCTTGTCAGGGTCAGGGGCGGGCTGGAGCCTAGCCCAGCTATCGTAAGGCGAGAGCCTGGACAGCTCTCCAGGGTCTAACCTAAATGTGATAATTAAGGGATTATTTAGTATTAGTGTTTTCATCATTGTTTAGCCATGTTACTGGGATCTTAACATCTGCTAGTGTATTCAGCAAAGAGGTCATCACGGTTTCTAAATGTTTAAAATAAACTACTGGTACATTGTCATCCACAATTACCATCTTCTAGGTGGCTCTTGACTAAATGTCAGGGAATTACCAGGAAGTTAGGAGAACCATTAATGTCTGTTCAAATTTGATAATAGCTGATAATGTCAATGTCATTACTAGAGCACTTGTTCAGGAAACCACAAGTATGAACATTTTACCCTTTTCCAAATTTAGTGGTCTATTATCAATTTTGTAAGATAATAGAAATATTAGACCAATAGATAAACTTACATTTCTATCCATTGAGCCAACTAAACTTCCTGGGGTGGCTACTGTTCAACTTGTATTCTCATGCGTCTCTTCACCAAATTTTCAAAATTTGATTGACCCTGAAAGTATCAGTATCTTGAGAAACATATGTATGAGGTAATGTTATAGCTATTGCATTATCGCAATATCTTAATTCTGGAATCCCAGATTTAAGCAACAGTATGACAAATCTGTTCACAAAGACAAATACTGGAAATTCACCATTGCAATTCCAGTTAAGACAAGAGCTTACGGTCATCTACAGGAGGCAAAAATGGAATATAACGGATGATTGGAACACAAGGAAAACAGGGGTTTTATTTCACAGACTTGAGGTTTGGAAAACTTCACAATGACCAGAAATGGTTAGTCATCATCAGTGACGGTTTACCGTATAACAGCACAGGAAGGCAACAGATTCCTGTAAATGTGTAAGTGAAGTAAAATCAATACAAGAAATGAAAAAGCCAAGTTTGAGACAGAGATTTAAATTTTTTTATAACATTTCTGGATCATTTGCGGAGGAATTTTCACCAAAACCCTACATAATATCAGGCTCTTCAATTTTTCACTGTATATAGATTGTGTACTTATTTGGTAGGATCTCTCCCATTATTTTTAAAAACACCTGTTTTGTTATTCCTCTAAGTCTTGTTATTATCAAAAATGACAGACAGGTACTTTTATTGATAAAAGTTTCTTAAAGCTATAGCACTATCAGATAAGCATATTCCAGTAAAACTCTGTAAAACGAGGTCGATGTCTAGCTCGGAGAAAGGAAAAGAAGAACTGGACAGAATGATGAATTACAACAAGTCCATGTAGGTTGTCTATAGGTAGAGCAAACTGAAAAGTAGCTGTCTAAAAAAAATGCATCTGACTACATGGGTGACTTCAGTTGATAATGACTGGAATCCAAGCCCAGAAGTCATAAATTCTTCACTGGATGATTAAACTGAAAGGCAAAGAGAAGGTGAAGAAGTGTTTGCGTAGGGGTGCATATGTGTGAGTGAACGAAAGGAAAAAGGAGAGACTGAGCCAGAGAAATCAAAAGCTCTTCCATGTGGCTTTGTGTGCTATAACACCTGCTCCTACTTTTATTTGCCGCAGGAGACAGGTATGCGAGCTGATGCAGGTATAGGATTGAGAGAAATACATGACCCCACTATCAGCTCCATAAGGGTACACACACACACACACACACACACACACACACACACACACACACACACACACACACACACACACACACACA